AAACGGGTCGAAACAATATTAAATTTCTGAACAATGTTTATGCATAAAATCTATCTTGTAGCACGGATGATTTATTCTCCTTTGGAGCAAATATTTATTTATATTTGTCTATTATCTAGGTATTGTGATTGTTCGGTGACTCCATTAATTATATGGAATCTTTTTTACATTTTTGTTGTGCATTTACAATAATAAGAAATGAAAAAAGGCGTATTATTTCGACAAACACCACACAAACATTTATTTATATATTCATATATAAAAGTAATTTTGATCCTGACGATTTTGTTAAAATATGCTTTTAAAAGTTGAGTAAAGTTGTCCACTTTATAATTTCTATTTGCCGTTCTGATCTGAGAAATGTGAACATATACTAGGGCGTGTTATAAATATTTTTCAATAAAAATTTTGTCAACTTTTTTTACGCGTGATTTCAAAACATTTCAAGAAAGTAATACTCAAGAATGAAAGCCCCTCATCGAAAAACGGCCCCATATATGAAGCTTAGTTACAAGAACATCAAGTTGTGTGATGAATGAAGAAGACCAGGCCCCTCTAACTTGCTTCATAGACTACAATGTAAATTATAATAACGTAATAATGATCAGTTGCTTAAACCTTAATTTAACTAGTTTTATGTACATAATAATCAATGTACTACTGTTGTAATCCAATTTAATTTTACATTAGTTATGTTCAAAAGTAGTTAAATTGATGGTTGGGCAAGTTATATAGTCTATAATAGATGGGTAATTAATTTAATAAAGATACAAAGCGCGAGTTTGGCTTGACTTTTCTCGAAGTAACAAAATACGGAAGTATAAATTTCTTGTTAATAGGGCGCTTGAATAGATTAAACCCCGCATGACCGACCGGTCGTGAAGGTTTAACATAGCGAAGCGCCGTGTTTGTGATATTTCATGTTTATCTCTCTCTCTCTTTCTGTCTCTTTCTCTCTCTCTCTCTCTCTCTCTCTCTCTCTCTCTCTTTTTTTATTTTTTCGATTTTTCTACCCCTTTACTTTTTGCCGTTTGTCGAGCTTAGGATTAGAGATGTTAGGGAAAGGACCTATGTCGAAAATCACATTAACCTCTCGTTGTTTTTGTCCCATTATGAAGTCACAAAAGAAAGACATCCTCAGCGAAATTCTCTCCGTCCCGAGGGTAAAAAGTATAAGTGTATATAAAAATAACACGGTTTCCTTTCTACTTAGTACTTGAAAGTTGTAACATCACAAAGTCTTTTCAGGTTGGACTTTTCAGTTTTCGCGTTTTCCCCCGCAAAGTGCAAACTTTATGCGCTCGGGGGGTTATTTATCTCACTATAACGAGACATTTAACGGTTTTTAATGTGATAGTACTTAATCGATTGAAAAAGTTAAAATATAAAACATTGTTATACGCCTATGCTTTCAGCTTTTTGTAAAATATGCTATAAACATGTCGTTTTTATTGTTTGTGTTTCCCTTTTTATGTGGCAATTTTTATATTTATGATCAAGAACCTCAAAACGTCAAAAAAAAAAAAACCCAAAAAAAACATGAATATTAGAGACCTACATACAAAATGGTTCTCGTTTTATCTTTTAACGTATTGCCCGAGCTTTTTCATGTGGCGATTCTCTAAGAATTATCTTCTTTAATCTCATCCTTACCCCCTAACTCTTCTTTATCACCATTCATTATTGATGAAACGTGAAATTAACCGGAATAAACTATTAATTGATCAATTTACTCCACGATTTATCACCATAGGGCTCCACTGTTGTGTATATCAATTATACCTGAAAGCCGAGATCCGATTAGAACGTTTTCAAAAGGCTCACCAGGCCCGAAATCAGTACGACGTTGGGAATTCCAAGCGTCTGTTCCGATATTCCACAAATGGAAATTCATTAGATAGATTTTGTTATTAAATTTCTTCAGTGGAAAATGTTTTAATTTTTGTCAGACGCAGCCGATAATTATAGACACTTTTAATCATTTACATCCTTGAATTAATCAGTAATAATTAATCAGGCGACGGTTCTCCATTAATTATTTACGTAGTCATTTATTATTTAGACGCAAACCCCTTGACAGGCGCCCTTAAACTGTGGGCCAAGCTTTGTTTCAGACCCTATATTTCTCCCCATTCGAATTTTGACAAATTTCTTTTAAAATAAATAAAAAAGAGTTGCATTAAGCTCAAACGACAATTTTTATAAGTAGTATTTAAATGATTGTCAATGGTTTTTTGGTGAACTTTTCCAACTTCTGTACTGACATAGTATGATTTTTGTTATTAACCTGAAATAAATAACTTTAATATTCGTTATTACTGTGATTATTTATGGAGAGAAATCGTGTAAGTTTTTTGTTTCTTCCGGTTACTGTTGCCATCACTAAATCCGTAGGACAGATTACAGTGTGATTATATGATGGGCTAAGTGCGAGGTTTCGAGTCCATCGTCGTTTCAGGCGATGTGGCGGTGTTTCAGGAAAGTGTAGATAAGCCTTGGGCCGTAGGGTTAGGATGGATCGAAAGCGTGGAGTTCACTTGTGGAAGCAATATAGTTTCGTTGTTGATATTGAGATTAGTGACGTAATTAGTAGCTTTAATAATTTATCTGACGACTTTTGATTGAAAGGAGTGGATGCACTGGAGATGGATGTCTTTGCGGAACCCCACAGCATGATTCCTTATGCCCAAAGCGGTCGCAGAATGCATTGTATAAAGTTAGTTGAGTTCAGATTTCAACCCTAACAATGTTTGTAGTTATCCATGTTTTATGCAGTGTTGTTGTCTGTTAAGTCTTGTGTGAGAATTCCACATCAGTCTGATGTCTGTTTAGACGTATCTGACTTGAGTGTAAGTAGGTAGCTTCTTGTTGATGTACCGTGATGGGCAAGACTGTTTCTTTTTTTCCAGTGGAAATGAACACTACATTTTTCTTGATTGAGTCTTGCCGTGTACTTTTTGCTCAAGTCTTTGACAAGATCAAGGTGTACTTGAACGTTAAAGGTTGGTTAAATAGGATTCGGGTTAGAAGACAGAATTGCGTTATCCGCTTAGGTGGTAATGATGGTATTGGATTGTATTGGAGTCATTTATTGTGTAAAGGATGGGATCAAGAAGCTTCCTCTTAGGACGTCGGCCTTTACCAGTCTATAGCAGGCTATATATGAGTTGCTGCACCTCACTCTGAAGCGAGGGTCTGTTAAATAGGATTCAAGTATAAGTTAATAAGGAGCGGATTGGTTTAAGTTGAAGATGCCTCGGTGACAGAACTGGGCTCATCAAGGAACCTTATTCTGCAATGGTGTCAACAACTCTGAAACTTTGCTGGATCGAGGAATGATAGGGACAGTAGCCGAATTTGAAAAGCAATGATTTGATGTGAATCTAGTGTTGTTATTAAACTTTTAAAAGCAGTCTTTCGAGGAATTTGGACATCACCGGAAAGAAGGCTTATGGGTCTGTTGGAGGATATTTGGTAGGGAGGTTTGTGAGCTTTAGCAATGAGAATTCTGACAGAATACGAGAGAAAAGTGAGTGGGTAAGCGATGGTATATATATAACCACAAGCCACCATTTTTAGTTTTGGCAGTTTATACACTACTTTGAATTTTGATCGCAAATTAACATTAAACAGAAGTAAACCAAAGTGATTCAATTGTAATTATTTATCATGTTGAATAATCATATCTTTTTTAAGGGTTCATATCGATTAAATAATATAGACAATATCGCCAATAATGTGTCGAAATATCCCAATTGAAGGAAAAGCAATATTATTGTGAGTTGTAGTTAGAATTTTTTTCCCATGCATCACATTGCCATTGGTTTGCAGTTTATTCTCAAAAACCCAGAAATTTCAATATCATTTGAATTTTGCTGCCTGTCTTGAGCGAAAATAACTATTTTATATGTCAATTGTTGCAAGGTTTATTAAATTTATTCTCCACGATCATCCCTGAATATATTTTCCCAGTTGTTGGGAGTACGACTATATATAGATATTTCTTTAAAAACAATGCACAACGTAAAAATGACACAGCAGATTTTCGTCCGTTGTCTTAAAACTTGATTGTCATTTATATTAGCGACATTTCGCTGTTGGTTCGTTTGGCACAGAGGTCGACGAGAAAGCACCGAATTTGATTAAGATTAAATAATTACACCCATTTATACCCATATAGCTAGCTCGGAATCATTGGAGACAGGGGGTTTGTTATTCTAATACACTTTTAATATTTTATATCTCGTATTACATACATCCTACAGACAGTACCTATATTTTGAAACACATCATCGAAGGCTGAATAGATCAGGAGAGATAGTCTTTTTTTAAGTTTATATTACATAGTTTTGTATATATTGTGTTTAGTTTTTTTTCCATAAATAGAGATATAATATTAAAAATTACCCCTAACGCTTTTTGTAATATAATGGATATGGGTATTATTTTTCTATCGAGATAATAATTGACAGATTAATGTTATAGTAATTAGGCTACAAGAAGAAACATCAGCTTCATTTTCGTTATAATATTACATTTTGAAGATTGCTTAAACAGATTTTAGTACGAAAACCCTTTAGTATTTATTTAATTTTATTCATATTACAACTAAATTCGAACATTTTTCTGTTAGTCAGGAGATTTTGATAATATGATATGAATATGAGAAACAGGTAACAATAAAAACTTCGGCTTAGACTTCTTTACTTCCATCTAAAGGAATAAATGTTATTATTACAAAACAAATATTTTGTTGTCGTTAACTTGTTTTGCAATTCATATAAATTTATAAGCAGAACGTCATGAAATTTGACGCGTTTTGTAGGAGGCAGATAGAGTTTGCATATAAAATATATAATCCTTAAGAAATTACATATTTAAATTAAGGGATAAACAGTTAAAATCGGTTGTAAAGTTTAGGAAAATGTTCGAATTTTTATGTACACGCAAATTTGATTGGAAAAGTGCGATTTACAAAATTATAAACAGACAAGTAATAATTTTGAAATAAACTTTCTGAAAATCTGAATATATACATATAACATTTTTTGGTATCGATATGAGGTACGACATTAACGTGTATCTATATATTATTCAGATTTCAGGCTGGTTGTTTAATAATTGAATGTATCAGGTTGTTCCTTAGGCAATTCTATTTTTCTTAGAGACCTCAAGTTACCCGTCTCTAGTTTATAATTTTGGTCCGTACACCCTTATGTTTAGCAAAAGGTTGCACCAATTAGTTTCAATTCGTCTGTCATCGATCTCGCCAAAGATCGGGCTTTTCTCTGGGTCGGCCACCTCCTACTCGTCGCTGCTCGACGTGCTCGACGGTCGCGGGGTGCTCGGTGAGAATCTTGCTGTCGTTATCGGTTCGGAGTCGTTGTGAGATCCACGAGCCACCTTCCAACCCTCTTCGCCGTACATCAGATCCTCGTTTCTCTGAAATAACCGGCCCAAGATTAGTAACAAGTGGAGAAACGATTAAAAGCTGGAGCGTGCGTGGAAATAGCAGTGTCGAAGTGTTAACGCTTTAAGCATTTATCTTTTAGTGTTTTTATGCCCTTTGCTAAAATCTTTAGGATTATGTTTTTATTATTTATAATTTTATTTATTAATCTGTACTTATAAATATTTACAATTTTCTGACAGACATCCTTGATTTAAAATATGTTTATCTTAAGAGTTTTGCTCTTCCTATAACTAGAAATGATCAGATGGTAATTCAAAATTGTTTACAATACTTCACTTCAAGCTTACGTCGATGAAATATTTTATCATTGATCATTCCTGCTACAAGTATGTAATTTTAATGCATAACTCATTAATATGGCAATAATTAAAGTTAACTAAAAAGCCCATGCAGTTATACATGCAATTTGAGGGTATCACGATGTGAGAATTGTGGTGTTTCGAGGGCGATTAGCTTATGACGCCCAGTTTAATTAATGGCTTCCTTCGAGGGTTATTAAGAGAGAGCTGCTATTTATTTGACATTTTAATGTAAAATATACGTTGAAATTAAAAAACTTATTCTAATATTTTAAAACGACGCAATAGATGTCGTAATACTTAGTTTATTATTAACCGAAATTTTAAAATAGTACTTAATTTTTTCGTTCCCTATATTTGCTATTCGTTTTATAACGCGATTTAGTTGATCGACCTAGTAAAAAAGAGCATATTTAATTAGTTACCATCGTTCAACCCATTTTAATGATTGGAAAGAAAACTCATAGCTCCGTGGTTAGGCTTTCATCAGCTCCCTTTCATCAGTACTTTGAAGCAATTAATTATAATTTACAAGCTTAACAAATATGAACAGCAATAGTTCAAACCTGAAGAGGAATCGTGGCACGATCCGAAACGTTGAAAATAATTTCCATCAGGTTACCCTACATACGCTACTACACGTACCACGGAACCTAAACTTACCGTAAAATGACAGTCTCAATATTCATAAATTTATCTACAAAAAATACTTGTTTGAGAATTGTTGTCAACTATTGAAAATTATACTATGCAATTATAATTAAAATACCGACAATAAGTACAAAATATAACTGAACTAATCAGCTAATAATGGCAATAAATAAAAATTAATGTGTTATTGCGTTAATTTATGAATTTAGGTTTCAATATTGTAAATACATGTTCATATTTATTACATTTGTAAATTATTAATGTAAGTCTTTGTATAAAGAATACATTCCAAGTTCGACGGAGGAGTTAAATGTCTTCTTTACAATTGGCCTTATCCTTGGCGTTTTTAAAAAAAATGAATGTTTTTGTTAGTCTTGCGAGACCTGTAGGTTCGGGAAGAGCATACTATCGATTCATCATCCCGACAAGAAGCCTCAAAAAATAAATCACACGAGAGTTCTATTTTCCAAATCAAAAATTGACCCTCGCTTTCATACTCCTTCGGAGGTACTCGAGAAAGATAAATATCCCGATGTTTTAATTTGAATAGAGAATAAAAACGGAAACCCCCTTTCCATTATCCGGCAGAATAATGAGGGGGATGGCCTGGGAAAAACTGGCCGACATTCAAGTCTGGGCTCCCGTGGTAATGATCTCACGAGGTTCAGCACTCTTTCAGCCTGTCATCACGGCGGAACGTAACAGTTTATCCGTTTTAGAGGGTGGTTCGGCCTTCTTTGCACACAATCTGATGTGACCTCGTCTAACAACAATTTCACAGGATTGTATTTCCCCGAATGAGGGATAGATGACTCGGAATCTCTTGACTCTCGGTGATCTATTCTATTCTTGACGTACGATCCATCACCGAAAGGAAGTGATTTAGTGATTTCTTTCACCCCTTCCAGATTTTTTATATTTCAAATGTATAATAAAAAAGGACATTTTGGGAGTTATATCGTAGAAGAAAAACTAAAGTATAATAAGAAAATTAGAGTTGTATAAATATCACTCGTTAAGTTTCAATGGAAAGCTGGATAAATAACATTGCATAGTTTTTCTTGTTCTGCAGCAAGAAATATTCTACCGAAACATTTACACTGTCGTGTCAAAAAATAATTTGTTTCAATAGATAACATGTAATAAAGCAGCGATAGGATACAATTTCTAAATATCTTTATTTTCAGTTTTAACATAACCAATTCAAGAGTAATTTTTTTGTTGGTTTAAGGGCAGTTTGGCCGTGTTAGGGGAACACTGATTCCTTTGATATCCCTTCGTCCGTCTCTGTGACGCTCACTATGTTCGCATGTCACTTTGAAGGGGGAAACTGGCTTTATTCTGACATCCGCCCCTTATTCCTGCAATTCCCTTATTCCTTATTCCTCCCGGTTGTAGCGTTTCCAGTTCGTATGATAAGGAGAAGAGATACAGCTGCAAGATGGGCGAGGTTTTATTCCATTTAGAACCGCCCATGCTTGCAGTTACGAGACCGGTTGGTCGTGTAATTGAAAGAAGTTTATATTGCAGGCCGAGATCAAAACAGAAATGAAACACAGAGAAACTATTGAAATACCAAATAGTTTCAATAAAATATTGTATTTTGTTGTTATGATAATTTAACCTACATAGAAATTTTTTATTGATATAAAATCGATTTGATAATATTGTTACTCATTGATCAACTCCTCATTATTGATTCAATTTTTTTATTTTTATCGTGAGTCTTATTTAAAATAAATTATTAGTGGTGTCTTTGGCGTTTAAAGAGTTAGTTGCGTGTATTCCTCGATTCACAGATTGCCTTAAATCTGTCAAGAGGTACAGGACAAATCATGTTCCTTTTGGAATGGGGGAATCGCATTAAAATGTGCATTGTTATCTGTAGACCATTTGTTTCCGACCCACGTCGTGATTTTTCTTCGGGTACTTTATCTTTAACTTTGTGCAAAAGCCGCTAGAATTCATCAAGTTTTGAGGACGATGCTTTCGACATAGGATTTTTGTCGTACTTTAAAAAGCTCTTTTATAATTTTTGTTGTATCATCCACCAAATTATCACGAACTTTATTATTTCTTGATGAACTTGGTGAAGGAAAAACAAATAAACGGCAGACAATAAAAATAATAAATTTATGAACATATCACACATTCTTACTTGATCCCATAAATACAAAACACAATACAATAAAAAAATAGCATTATTTTCGGTTTGTCTAACCGTCTTTTTTTAATTTTTTGTTTATTTGATGTTGTTTGTTCATTTCTAATCGCCCTTGTTTCAATGTGGTTTTTGTTACGTATTTTCGCCCATTCTACTGGAAATTGGTCTGCGGCAGTGGCGTCTTCCGATACATTGTAAAAATTTTTGGATGGAGTAAATTATATGTATGATGATTGATTGTGGCTTTTTTAAACATTAAAACTACTAAATTTTTTTTAGTCCTTATCGTAAATAAAATAAATTTATATCTTTTCTAATGTGCGGTACTTTATTTGGGTTAAAAGTTAGGCAATCTTTTCCATCTTAAGACGTAGATTGGGCTGAGGTGTTGCTTACACGGAAATCAGCCTAATTTGGAGCCGTTATTTGACACTGATTCCTCGACGCCATGTTTAATTTAATTCTCGTTGAAAACAAATTAGAAATAATGTCGTGCAATAAAGGTAATCCTGAGGACGGCTAGATCTATAATAAAGCGTTAATACCGGAAAACTAATTTTCCAGGTTAGCCTTACTCTACGATTAAGAAGAAAAAACGCATTACGCAATTGAGACGGCCATACAAATTATTCGCAAAAGGCGATTTATCACTTGACAAGAGTGTTGCTCCGGGAATATAACATTTATTGTGAGCCTATGACATTAAAACAATTTTATTTATCCTTCTGTAGAGCCCCGAATAAAAAGCCGTAACCTTGGCAAAAAATACAACTACTTCATTTCGGACCACATCCTCTATTCCAAACATCAATTTGATAACATTTTCATTTTGACAAATGAAAGGGCAACTTTTTCTTTAAGTAACCCATGAGTTGGCTACGATCTGCTTGTTAATAAACCCTACCTCTTTTTTGTTACCAGGGCCCACAATTTTCTGCAACATTCGAACGTATACTGGGCCAGACCACTCTCCAGGCTTTTAGTCAATTTCTATATTTCAGAATACAGCATGAAATTTTTATAAAATATCGGCGAGTGATATCAGTTTTACTGTTTAACATTGGTAAAAATATTTGATTCGGAAACAAATTATTCTCTGTAGAGAGCGTTGGTTTTCAATTAGTAAAACGTAATATGTGTTAACAACTTTTGTAACGGACTCCTACGGAGGATCGTCCGATATTCGGGAGTTATTTAGTTTCACAAAGTTGGACGGTCAGCGAGTTAATGAACTGCTGTCAGCACTTCCTCCCTTAACGGTTTGTGCGATCAACCAACTGCCAAAGTCCTTACGCGAGAATCCATCCATTTTCAAAGCCTGGCCCGAATTAAACTATCGTTTTATTGTAGGGCATGCTGTAACGCATTTAGAGACGGATAAAAGCGAAAAGAACCAGTTCAAGAGAAGAAATAAATGTGTAGAAAATTTCTTCTTAGGAAGGCGCTTGAATAGATTGAAACCCGTATGACTGATCGGTCGTACCGGTTTAGCATGGTGCAGCGCCGTATTGGAAATTATTTTACCTATCTCTTACTCTCTGCCTACCTTTCTGTCTGTCTGTCTGTCTATCTATCTGTCTGTCTATCTGTCTCTGTCTCTCTCTCTCTCTCTTTCTCCTTCTCTCTCTCTCTCTCGCTTTTAATTTATCTTTCCATCTTTTACTTAAATGTTTTATTTATCTCTTGGTTGTTATCAGAGATGAGGTCAAAGAAATATATTTTTAATTTTAAATCTTCGCCTAGCTGTCTGAACTTTATTGTACCTTCTTCAGGGCTCTACAAAAGCGTCTATTATACATTTTAATTTTGGTCAATTTGACATCAAATATATATATAAGAACAAGACATACATTAT